TTGTAGACCCTTGAGGGTTTAGACTCCACTTTATTCTTTCCTCCATTGTGCCTCGCTCAGACCTAGACCTGTGTAAAGACTTAGCACGTGCTTTATGATTAACGAAAGAGTGAATAGTTTGATAACTATTCTAAATATTTTGATTCCAAAGACAGGATCAAAGAAAACACCAAGTTCGCCCTCACTGTTGATTCGTTAGACATGTTGATTGAATACTTATGCCCAGATGAGAGCTCTCCAAGCATGCTCTCCAAGCATTTATCGTCACCATTTTTTAAGTGTTAATTTGAGCAAAACTCAATTTGAATAGGGCAGCGCCCAAACCAGAATTGATTAGGAGTTCTCCTTACCAATCGTTTTTAGGTGGCATCAAAATGTACTTTCTCACCCTACAAAATCAAAGAAACGGTTAAATGCAGTCTTTGTTTTCTGGAAGTTGTGGTTTCTATCATAAATGAAATCTCAGTAAATCTGAATAGACAAATGTAGAAACTGAGGCCCACAGAAGTGAAACAAATTGTCCAGAGTCACATGGCCAGTAAGTCACAGGGCCAGGACTGGAATTTGAGCCTCCTAACAGAGTACAAGCTTTTTCGCTCTACACAATGAAGGTCGGCAGAAAAATGGCTCCACTCTGAGGGTAGAATAGGTCTTTTGATTTGAGGATTTTGCTAGATTTCTGGCCTGACTTATCTTGTCTCAACTCAGAGAGCACCTCACCCTGTATTCTTACCCTCACCAAGAAAAGAGCAAGCAGACAGATTCCTCCCAGTGGAATTTCTCTATCTTTTCAGCTCTGCCATGGTTGTGTATGTGTACTAATGAGGTAGGGGAATGGACATTATGTGGGGAATCTAGTCCAAACTTGCTGTTAGTGAGATGCGTGGTATGCAAAAATTACTTAAATCTCATTTTTCTTCTCTGCAAAATGATGGATCTCTATTAAATTGATTCTAAGGTTACTCTCAGCTCCGTAAATTTCATCCTATAGCAAATAATTGTCTTTTGGCATTTCTCATTCTTTTACTTTATAGAATGAGATAAACTGTAAACACATGTTATAGTGTAGAATATATATAAAAAGACATCATTATGCTGCTTATTTTAGTAATGGCTTGTATGTGCACGTGTGAATTCCCCAAAGGGTTGTAACGATAGCTGACATGCTTGACTCTTTTATTCTGTGTCAGGCATTGTGTTAAGCACTTTGTGTGTACTTACTAGTTTAATTCATAGACCCACCCTCTGAGGAAGGTAGTAATGATTATATTCATTTTACAGACAGTAAGACTGAGTTTGAGAGAGATGAAGTCAGTTGCCCAAGATAATGTAGCTAGGAAGTGATAAAGCCAGGATTTGGCCCGAGTGGTCTGTCTTGGAGGTTGTGCCCTCGGCCCCCACACTCCTGCCTTTCCTTGGGGCAGGGATTGTACATTGCACTCTTCCGTGTCCTCCCGTGGTGCCAGATGTTGCTGAGCACAGAGTAGCACAGAGTCAGAATATGACCTGGCAGTGACTGAGACAAATGGAAAGAACAGTGTTTGTTGGCAAACTCTCTTACTTAAGAAACTTCCAGAACAGGCTCCACAGGCAGCTATGGGTCATGTTCTGAAGACATCTAAGAAGTGAGCGAGTACTTTGGGTATGCTCAGTCTCGAGGAGAGATATGGATTTGTTGGCTCCTGTAGGTTCCTCCAGTCCAAGATTCCTAGAACTGTTGGCTGGAAGAGAAATGCTTACGATAAACCACAGAACGGGACCAAAGGTGACAGGAATCACGCATTTGGCCTGATGTTTATCCTGTGGGCCAGCCAGCCATAGGCAACCATTTACTAGCATTTCATCAGCTATTGCAGGGCTTTCCCTATCAGCTTCCTTTCCAATTACTCATAAGCTCTGTAAGAGCAGGGGAGGAAATGAGGACCCGTGGAGGAGTGTCCCCGTCCTGAGTGCCATCACGGCCAGAGGCTGAAGGGAGCTTGAAGCACTGGTCTTTTTGCTGGCCAGACTAGAAATCTCTGGGGCCCGCTTTCCCACGGTCCAGACCCCAGAGCTTGCTTAGCGACACATGCCATTCATTCCTCTCATTCACTGATTGTTTTACTCTCAGAACAAACAAAACAGGCTCACTCTATGCACTCATCAATGCCCCTTACTTTCTAACTACTTTCCCAGCCCATTCCATAAACTCCCAGGCATATCCATGCATTCATTTATTCTTTTAATGCAAATATTTTAGTGAGCACCTATCATGTGCCAACAGGTGGATTTGGGGTTGGGGTAAGAAGATGAATAACATTCATCTCTGCCCCCAAGGAGCAACCGGCAAGTGGGGGAAGCTGATAAGCACTCAAGCAGTGATGATGTAGTGTGAGAAATGTGTGCAGAGAATGAAGGGAGCTAGACTGGAGGCTTCCATTGGGGGTGACATTTGAGCTGGGTCATGAATATTGCATGGAGTGGGAAAGGGCATTCCAGGAGGAGGAGCAGCTCGTTCCAAAGGTAAACTCAGAAATAGCAGGATGTTGGGCAATGGTGAGTTCCATGTGACACTGTGAGTGGTGCATGGGGGTGGGTGTTGAAAGTCTTCAACAGTTAGACCATGAAGTGCTTGTAAAGGGAGTTTAATTTTGCCAGGGAGTTTAGATCTTATTCCATAGGAGATGTGGGCCAAAGAAGTCTCACCCTAGTGGCACCAAGAAGGTGCATTGCAGACAGGCAGTGGAAAAGGCTGAGAGACAAGCTAGACAATGATTGCCAGCATTCCAAACACCCACAGTGGGGTGTAATGAAGCATAGCAATGGCTCTGTGAAGTTACAAGTTTGATGACCAGTAGTGCACAGTAAGCAAGGGTCGCAGCTTAGAGTCAAACATTCTGAGTTTGCATCCTGGTTCTGCCCCTTTCTTGTGTGACCTTAGGCAAGTTCCTCAACATCTCTGTCCCTCAGGACCATCATCTGTCAATGGGAAAATGGTCAGAGTGCCCACCTTGGAAAGATGCTATGAGAATTAAGTGAGGCTATGTATGCATAAATCCTCTCACACAGTGGGTGCTTTATCCACTTCGGCTCTTATTGTTAAAGAAAGAAAGAGAGGATTCACAGATGACTGGCTTCACCAGCTGAGTGGGTGGTGCTATCATTAGCAAGAGGAGAATATACAAGAGGATTTAGAAGAAAGATAGAGAAGGGCAGAGATATTGGGTTGGGCGTAGGACTTGATATGACTGGCTATTTATAGATGCTCACTTGTTCCAATAACTACTGCTACAAACAAATTACCCCCAAACTTAATAGCTTAAAAAAGACACAATCATTTTATTATTACACTTACAGTTGTGGGGTTGACCGGGCTCAGTGAATTGGTTGTTGCTCGGGGTCTCTCAAGTGGATGAAGTCAGAAAATAGCTGGAGCTGGAGACATCCCATAGGTGTCCTCACTCACGTTCCTGGTGGTCGACCCTGGGGGTTGGCCAGAGCACCCACGGTGGCCTCTCCACGTAACCTGGACTTTTCTACAACATGGTGACTACGTTCCAAGAATGCGTGTTCCAGGAGAGCCACAAGCAGCTGCCATGGGTCCATTCTCCTGGAAAGTATTCAAGTGCAGGCTCCAGTGAGAAACCCACTCCTTGCGCAGAGATGTCCCCACCCTCTGAAGCTGAGCATCCCTCCCAGAGCTCCAGCCCTTCCATGGGTCTTCTGCTTGGAACAAATTACTTTCCATGGGTCAGAGCTTAGCAGAGATGTCAAGAGCCCCACCCTAAAGCTACCTTCAGAAAGCATCTTGGTGTCAAGGTGACAAGGCAAAACTCCTCCTGCTGCCAGGGCCCTGGATGAGCTGGCAGCGTTGGGGTTCAGAGTGCTTAAGGCATGGTCAGTGTAGCAGAGGAAAAAGTTAGGGGGACTTCTCAGTCCTGTCTGACTGACAAGCAGAGCTTTTGGGCCCCAATATTCTGGGCACAGGGAGGGGGCAGGAACATTTCAGTTGTGCACTGGGCTCTCCTCTGAGACCTCTCCTTGCCAATACTTCTGAGACAGCTATGGACAATGCACACAGAAGAAGTGAGGGCTGCCTGATGATGAGCGATGATGACTTCTGAGGCTCTAGAAAAGCTTTCACTTCCTCCATGCCCATATGTTCTCTCACCAATCTCTTAGGCAGATAACTCTTATAAATGGGGGTGAAGTGTGAGTGAGCAGAATCTGTCATTCCATAGAGCAAAGAAATAAATAAGATGTGTAAAGAATATTCACATACATCATTTGATTCTTAAATACACACTGTGCAGTTGGCCTTATCATCTTCATTTCCAATGAGGTAAATGAAGCTCGGAGAGACCAATTGATTTTCGACCAGCTGGATGTGGAACCAAGGTTCAAATTAAATCTTCTAAGTGTAAATTTTATTTTCTTTTCACTTATATTTATACTGCTTACATTTGTAGTAGTTACAAATGACTGATATGGTGAGGGAAGTATAGGAAGGTAGGGCTTTCTCAAGGGTATGGAGAGGTGTTAGAATTGAATTGCCGAGTCAAATACAAGATGCCCAGTTAAACTAGAATTTCAGATAAAGAATGAATAATTTTTTAGTATAAATATTGCATGAAGGCATACTTATACTATAAGATTATTTGTTGTTTATCTGAAATTCAATTTTAACTGGACATCCTTTATTACTATTTGCTAAATCTGGCAACCCTACATTAAGAGTATGAAAGGTTCACAATAGAAGAGACCAGGGATCTGAAAATAAACTTTATGAAATTTGAGATGCATTGTCAGACTAAGTCCACATCCTCTCCTGCAGTGAACATGTGTAAGAGGATGATACACAATCGACCCTCTGTGTCTGCAGGTTCTGCTTTCACAGATTCAACCAACCGCGGATTGAAATTATTAAAAAAAAATGTCACATTGTGCTGACATATATTATGTAGCTAGGCCTATGATGACTGCGTCTGTACTGAACATGTACGCATTTTTTCCTTAATTCCCTAAACAATACAGTATAACAATTATTTACATAGCATTTACACAGCAGTAGGTGTTTTAAGTAATCTAGAGAATCAAGTAAATGAGAAGCTGTGTGTAGGTTATTTGCAAATATTATGCCCTTTTATATAAGGGACTTGAACATCCAAGGTTTTGGTGTCCTTGGGGGTCCAGGAACCAATCTCCTGTATGTCCTGGATGGAAGGGGTAAGCTGGGGAGAAGAGAAAGTTTGTAAGGAGGAGAGAGAGGTTTAAGAATTCAGTTTGAGGCTACCACGTGGGAGAACCTTGACAATATTATGCTCAGTGAAATAGGTCAGACACAAAAGAAAAATAAGGTGTGATGCCACTGTATGAGATACCTAGAGCTGTCATATGCACGGAGACAGAAAGTAGAATGGTGGTTACCAGGGGCTGAGAGTGGGAGGAATGGAGAGCTGGCGTTAACAGGTAATACAGGATATCCAGTTAAAATGAGCTGCAGTTTGGGATGATGAAAAGGTTCTGGAGATGGATGGTGGTGATGATGGCACAATAATGTCAATGTGTTAAATGCCACTGAACTATACACTTAAAAATAGTTAAGGTGGTAAAATTTATGTTTTGTATAGTTTAGCGCAACTAAAAAAAAAAAAAAAAAAAGAACTTAGTCCAAGATCCTGCCATGTCCTTAAAAGAGCTCCAGAGGGATGCAGCCTGCTCACATTTGGGTTGTTCCAGACATGGAAAATGTAGATGACACTCAACATCCAGGCTGCAGGGGCCAGCCAGCGAGGGAGGTTTACATGACTCAGTTAAGGTCACACTGGACAGAGGCTCAGGAAGCCCAAGTCTCTCAGTCTCCAATGTGGGGCCATTCCTCTACCTTAAAGGGAGAGGAAAACACTGGCATCCTGCTCCCTCTCCTCCTTCCATGCCTGCCCCAGTGAGCTAATATCCCAAAAGAGCCTGGAGTTCTTCTCAGAAGGGTGCTCTATAAATACAGCAACTTCTAGCTAATCAGGACTCCAGAAGTCACGGACAGATCACCAGAAGGATCCAGATGGGGGACGGTCCCTGGGGGACTTAAATTTAGTCCTGGCAACTCAGCTCAGGTCACTGGCTTTGAAAGCCCTATGCATTGCCTCCAAGAGGGGCCATCAGGAGAAGATTGTTCATTTTTTTGAAATTTGGGGGCTTCCCCTGCTCCCAGTCACAACCTAGGAGCATAATGGATTAATATGGGGTTTTGGATACAGAGTATGAATTTTTATGAGCAACCATTAGGACATCCTCCCTGGTCCTTGCTGTAAGGTGCCCAGGCTTTGCTAAATTCAGATCAGACAGAGTTATTGCTCAGACAGACCGTACATGGAAGCCTCAAGACCAGAGAGGCATGACCTATGGACCAGAGAGGCATCTGCCATAGCAATGGCTCACCAGGGGATCTGGAACTGTAGCTTCACCTTCTCTAGTTAACTGAGCTCACAGAATGGTTCTCTAGCCCATCACGCAAAACAGCACATATAACAACAAATATTTTATAACACCGCCTTTACTATCTTAAAGTGAAATTCATAGTTAATATAACTTACAACCGGCATGAAAAAAAATCAATGTAATAGGAGAAATAAAAGGAAAATAAAATACTCTATAGTTCAATAATCATATGCTCAAGCACAGCTCCATTAACAGACTTATGAAGTATTCAGGTGCTTGTACCTAGTCATAATGGATAAATTTGGATTTAAGAGCAGCAAGAAAATGTTCAACTAAAAATTATGTGCCTAAAATTATTTCTTAATAAATAAAAATTATTTGCCTTTTTGGCATTTGACATGAGTTAAATAAGTATATCTGTGTGTCTGTATATATATGTGTGTGTGTGTGTGTGTGTGTATATATATATATAAATATATATATATTTTTATATATATATATAGAGAGAGAGAGAGACAGAGACAGAGAGACAGAGAGACAGAGAGACAGAGAGACAGAGAGACAGAGAGACAGAGAGACAGAGAGACAGAGAGACAGAGAGACAGAGAGACAGAGAGACAGAGACAGAGAGAACACCACTGTGAATGTGGAAGCTACAAATGCAGAGTGCTAACGGGTTGGTACCACCGGCAGCATGGTCATGAGACGATTTTCCAAAATGGCAAACTGCTTTTAAAAAATTCCAAACAAAAAAAGTGCAGTCTTCCCTGGACTTACATCCTAGTTGAAAAATTCAGTGTGTATTAAACTCATGGGAAAAACACTTTTTGCATAAGTAAAACAGTTTGATTCTAGACTCGGGTTATAAATAGGCGTTTCACTTACATTTTATTTTATTATTATTTTTAGTTACCTTTCCAATTTTATTTTATTTTATTTTATTTTTTTATTTTTTATTTTTTTGGTGACATTGGTTAACGAAATCCGCTAAGTTTCAGGTGTACAATTTAACAGTAAGGCATATATATATTGCATTGTGTGTTCTCCTCTTATAGTTAGATTTCTTTCTGTCACCACATATTTGACCCCTTTTACTCCATCTGCCTCCCTCCTTCCCCCTCCCCCGCCTCTGGTAACCACTAATCTATTGTCCATGTCCATGGGTCTCTGTTTATCCTGTTCACTACTGGATATTTACCCCAAAGACTTGAAAACCCATATCCAAAAAGATATTTGTACACTGATGTTCATAGCAGCATTATTCACAGTGGCCAGGACATGGAAACAACCAAAGTGTCCTATGATAGATGATTGAATAAAGAAGCTGTGGTACATATATACAATGGAATATTACTCAACCATAAGAAGAGATTAAATACTGCCATTTGTGACAACATGGATAGACCTTGAGATAATCATGTTAAGCAAAATAAGCCAAATGGAAAAAGTTGAAAACCACGTGACATTTTAAAGTAAAGTGTAGGACACTTCGCCATTGTGGAGGACTGTCCCACATGTTGCAGACATCTCAAATCTGTGGCCTCTGCCCACTAATGCCAGCAGCATACCCAATTATTGTGCCAACAAAATACCCTGCCCAATTGCCAGAAAGTTTCCATTGATTACCATGGTTATAACAGTTGTAAAGGTGCTTGGCACTTACAGAAATATTTCTTCCTTCCCTTCCTTCATTTCTTTTCCTTTTCCTCCCTTTATCTTTCTATATGATTCTAAGAAGTGGGAGCAAGGACAAAAGAAAAAAGAACTATATCTGTCTTGTTGTGTGGAATGGCTAAGGAAGGACCAGCTGAATCAACTGCCAGGGAACCCGAGGGTAAAGGCCTCAGAGATCTCCCCAAGAGCCCAGCATGAGCAAAGAAAGAACTAGCACGTCATTCTTACTTCTACGGTGATTACACTTCATATAATGCTTTCTAGCATGTCATCTCATTTGAATTTACACACTGATTCTGTGTGGTAGGCAGGACAGGGTTATAAGCAGCATTTAAGAGATGAAGAAACCGAAGAACAGAGAGCTTAGGTGACTCACTGACCCACCATTATTCTCCATTTTAGCCCTGAGTTTGCTTCCTTGCCAGCCCTCCCCATGACGTGTAATAATGTTGTATTGTTGAGTGGTGACTTAATGAACTGTCTAGCCTCCATTGGA